GTTTACAGCAGTGTCTGTGTGTACGTCTGCATGTATCTGCTTGTATTCATAAGTTTTCTGTTGTGTGTGCATTCAGCCAAGGTGTTGATAGGAGGTGGAATGTCACATGGCGGGGGATGGGATAAAGGGATGAAAGCAAAACAGAGAGAGAGGAACAAGTGGGAAACAAAAAGAAAACATGGAGTCAAAAGTAGCAGGGGCTCAGTTGGTGTAGATCTGCCCTTCAGGTGGCTGAGGAAGCTTCATGTTTTCCTTGCAGGTCATGAGCCGTCGAAGCTCCAGCAGCACCATCCGGATACTGTAGGAGTTCTGCCACTTGGCCAGCGCAGACACTGCATGCATGTCAACCTGCAGGGTGGAGATGGATGCAGTTAGACATTGTAATTATCCCCCATCTTGGATTTACCTTTTTAAAGCACCAAAATGTTTTTAAAAATTATTTATTTTTTAATAAATGTATTTCATTGTTCAAATCCATTATATTCATATTTATTTTATTTTTATAGAAACTGATTTACTGCTGCTTTAACCTGCAATGTGTTTAAGTCAAGCTTCACACATTAACCTTGGGCATACAATTAAGAGAAAAAAAAAAAGCAAAGCAACAGATGAATGAGCACTGACACGCTTGACCAAGTGAAATGAGTGCAACCACCCACAAAGAAGCGAGGAAGTCATGTTATTTACGTGCAAAAAAGGGGACCTTTGTATCTATTCCATTTCCAAATAGACTAGTGTCGCTTTGCATGATCCATAGCTCACAGCGATCCTTAATGAATTACCTTGGTACAGCATCTCAGTTTATCCACAGACTGAAACAAGCTATTTTATCCTTTGCCCCCAGCGTTTTGCCACGTAAAAAAAAAAAAGGTTAGAGTAGCAGGTGGGTGTTTAAAGGTAGAGCAGTGTGCCTGAGATGACCATATTAAGACAATTAATCTCTTATAATATTATATGGCATTAAAAGTAAAAAAAAAAGTCTGAAAGTATAATGTGTGTATAATGTGTGTGTATGTGTTAGTCCCCATAGGGAAATAGTTCCTCTACATTTAACCCATTCACCCAGTGAAGCAGTGGGCAGCCACCAATGCAGCGCCCGGGGAGCAGTGTGTAGGGACGGTACCTTGCTCAGGGGTACCTCAGGGTAGCCGTTCAGTGGAGTTGAACCCCCAACCTTCCAATCATGGGGCCACCACTCTACCTACTGCCCCTAAGTGGGTTTTTAAATAAGAATGAAGGCTGAACTGGCCCTCGTCTTTCTTCCTAACTTGCATGGTGCTCATGTAAGTTAGGAAAAAAGATCCCACATATTACCAATTTTTTGAGATCTTAAAAAAAAAAAAAAAAAACAACTCTTGGAAAATCCTAAAACATCTGAATAAAGATCGAGATGTACATAATGTAAATCATCTATTATCGTCTTGTTCCATGGAACCAATGGCCGTCTTCTAAACAAGATTATATGAACTCATAACCAGAAAACTGCAGAGCTGGACCTTTTGGGACTTTTAAGGAGTAAATAAAATCTTATATTGATATTTCAGCCAATATTCTAACAGTAAGTGAGAGTATTAAACAATAAGATGATACGAAACATATATCCTGACATATCAGTGATAGGCCAGTTTAAGCTAGTTGATCAGTTGTTTATCTGACTCCACAGAGCAGATATGATGCTCCTTCCACAGAGTGCATCCAAAATGAGCCAATCAAGCTTAAGAATAATGATAAATAATTCACATACCACACCGTTGGAGGTGTGCACGCCATTCAAGTTTATCTTTGTCACAAATCTGACAAAAGGTGGTGATTCTGGGTATCCTGGCCCGCATTCAACCTTCAGATTGTACATCCTGTTTTCATAGCTTGTCTGTTGATCAAAGGAAGTTAGGGAGAGGTGAGAAGACAGCACACCGAACTTTGAAGAACAAAAAAAAAAAAAAAAGTACACAATGTTCACTATGTGCAACAACATCATGTGAAAACTAAGGCAGGAAATACCCTTGTAGGGTTTTTTTCTCCTGACTCACAAAGGCCCTGGGGAGAGTTTAAAGAGTCTGCGGTACCTTGTTTTTACACAAATCTGTGCCTTTTGCTTTAATCTAATCAACAAAAATGTCTGCTATAATTAACATAACTGCTAATTTTATTACAATTTTTGGCTCTGGCCAAAACATTTGGTGGCATGCCAGAATTTTTTTTATGCTCCCTGCATACAGGCTGTAACTGTGACAGCACTGCTGCAGTTTTACCCAGTCACACAGTAAATGAATACAATGTAGATGAAGACAAACTGGCTGACCCAGCTGCAATCTAACATACGGTAATGTCCATGGTCCTGTGAAAGAGGTCCTCAAAGTACTGTAGTCAATAATTTAAAAACAGCATTTTCAATAACAGTCTCATATAGGTCATTTCAACTTTACAGCTTAGCACCGAGCAGTGCTAAGTATTTATAAATACCTATAATTAAAAATTAACTAAAAAGATACTGGGACATCTGTCAGCAGTCAAAAACAACATTATGCTGCAAACGTATGCGATATTTGGTCTTTAGTCAGGAGTTTAATTGTGCTTCTGCTTCACATTTATTCTGTTTTAATTCAAAAACATTAATTCAAAGCACTGCAAAGTAGTGTTAGTGCCTCGATGTTTTCCTCTTCTTCACATGGACGACCTGATTTGCTCCCCAACATCATGCCATGCACAAATCAAACCTGACACCTTTGGTTTAAGTAACTGTTAATCTTTTGGCTTGGTCAACACTCCCCTGCTCCTGCAAAGTCCTCATCCAGGTGTTAAAAATGGCACCACTAACCCTTGGGGGGCCAAGGATCACCCCTCTCCATCGTGTTAAGGTCATGTCCTCATCATCCTCCAAGCCCCAGCTCACCGTTCCATCTCCCACACCTTTCTGACCTTCCTCCAGCTCTTCCAGGAGCCGGAAATTGCGAGGAACTTTAACGCCTGTTTGTGGGCAAACACACAGCCATTCAGTCATGCAAACTTCCAGAGCCACAGGTAGATTTACGAAGCTAAATAAAACTGCCAGCAGTGTGCCAGACAAAATGACTTGCAGTTATGAAGTTATGACTCAATAAGACAGAAAAAATAAGGGACGCCTCAGCTGCGCAGCCTACGTGAGCCTTTTGATAAGAGCAGGTGTTATTTTCACGTCCTGTGAGACTTGAGCATCTGGCTCCGGCGGTGCCGCATCACTTGGCCTCCGCAGTGAGATACGACGAGGCTGCACCCTTAACAGAGCCATCCAAACAAACCCAGTCACACTGCCAGCTGCTGCAGCATTTCAGCTCAGCTCACCGGCGTCTCCAGAGAAGCTCAGTGAAGCTCAGTGAAGCTCAGCGCAGGTCATGTTTCCCTCATGAGCTCTCGGAAAACGTACAGTCACTGTTTACGTTTAACAGCCGGGCAGGAAGACCGTCTTACTGCGGGATTCACCCGCTTTTCTTGATGACATTTAAGTAACGCTACACACCCGGTTTACAACACATCGCGCCTGTAAATAATCTGATGTCGCAAACAGGCTGTCATTTTCCGGTGGGGTGGCGGTGCTGTGGTTTGACAACAGGATGCTGTAATTTAAGCAGCATCCTAAATTAAACTTAAATTAAAATGTATAAATGAATACACAAATGCATAAGCAAGTTGCAATGTCTCATATTTGCTGATGGCTGGCGAGTAACGGCTCCACGCCCATAAAACAGCACTGAAGTGAGACCTGCTGTCCTTTTATCTAACTTAAGATAGCTTAGCTGCTAGCATCGCTTCCTATTCATTCTCCTCAGCTTTGTTTTAGCTTCAATGTAATAACACAACATAGCACAGCGCCTCAATGCGGAATCCATCTAATCATAAAACCTAACAGGTACGCGGTAAAAATTCATTGACAACACTGTTCAAAAATAGCTTTTCGCAGTGATTAAATACGTCTCAACCGTTTTACCTGATCCGGCGGCGACCGCCATCTTGTCGCTACACAGCGGGAGCGAGCACGCACTTTTACCATTGTAGCCAGCGGTGCGTGCGCGAGCAAGAAGACAGCAGCGGCGCTTCCTTTGTTGCTCTAAGCAAACTGATTAGCTATGTGGCTGCATAAAACGGAACTGTTATAATAATAATAATCATTATTACTATTGTTGTTGTTGTTGTCGTCAGAGTAGCACATTAACTTAGAGATAATCTAACCTGGCATACTTTCCAAGGCAGGTCACTATATTAAACGATTTAATTCTGTCAGAGCATCAAAAAAAAACTGTGCTTATTTTAATAGTCATTTCATTAAATAGAGATATTATTAACCGCCCTTTTGCTCCAGGGGTTTTTAAATCCACCAGTTCCAAAGGCAAGAGTGTTTGTCCAGAATTCTGCCTTTATGGTATATCTTTCAATCATCTTTCTTCAAATGTAGCATGTAATTCTCTACTAGTTCTATTCACATTGCATGATAAATCAGTAGACATGTAATTTAGGTCAGAGTTTTGTGCTTCTGCAGAAATTGTGGAAATCCAGCATGACTGAGGAGGAGGATGGGCCTATGCAGGTACCCCTTATTTCTCTTTGAAACTAAAAAGAGGTCATTCATCAGCATGTGCATCTACTTTTAGGTAGGTATGTATAGGTATTGTGCATGTGCATCTACATCTACTGATTTGAAACCATTTTACAGCACCCTCAGCGTCATGGGGAATGAAAAATTAAGGTATTTCTGAAGGCAAAGGCCACAATTAAAATAACAAAGATGGGGGAGTGTCAATATATTAGAAGAAAAAGATTGCTGTGAGAGATTAAAACATGAAACCCTTAATTAGCAAGGATAGATTAAAGCATGGCAAGTTTGATTAGGTCATTCACTGACTGACTGCAGGCTTATTACATAGCAAGTAAGCTGTGGAGTCTGGTGTCAAAAGGTTGACCTAAGCTTGCAAATTAAAAGGAAGAGGTGTTCTTGACTCAGAAACAATATTTCTCTGTGTGAAAACGCCTTGTGATCTCAAGAGGTTAGAGCAGAGTGGCCAGTTTGCTTTGAGCTGATAGGAAACTAAGTCAAACAACCGCTTTATACAACCAACGCACAACACGTCAACAGGTGCCACTCCTGTCAGCTAAGAACAGGAAACTGTGGCTACAATTCACACGGGCTCGCCAAAACTGGAAAACAGAAGAATGGAAAAAGAATTTGCCTGATCTAGTGTCTTGATTTTCTCCTGTCACATTCAAATGGCCGGGTCAGAATTTGGTAGAAACAGCTTTCAAGCATGAAAGCATGGATCCATTCTGCCTTGTCTCAACACTTCAGGCTTGTGACGGTGATGTAATGGTGTGACAAATATTTTCTTGGTACCCTTTGGACCCTTTAGAGCCAAATGAGCATCTTTAAAATGCCACAGTCTGCCTCATTATTGTTGCTGACCATGTCCTTCCCTTTTTGACCACATTGTATCCATCATCTGATGTTGGTTTTCCAGCAAGATAAAGCACAAAGCTCACAATATCTCAAACTGGTTTCTTGAACATGACAGTGAGCTCACTGTTCTCAAATGGCTTCCACAGACACCAGATCTCACAGAGAGAACCTTTGGGATGTGGTGGAACATCATGGATATGCGGCCAACAAGCCTACAGCAACTGTGTGACGTTGTAATGTCAGTATCAGCTGTTACGGAAATCTGAAACAAAACAAGTTGTCTCTGTGAGATTTTAATTTGACTTGGCAAAGGTCTCAGAAAACAGTACAGAGTACAGCAGCTGTCCAGTGCCATCACATTCCCCCCCCCCCCCTTTTGATCATTTATTGATCACAAGTATTCACAGGGCAGCACGGTGGTTAGCACTGTTGTCTCACAGCAAGAAGGTCCTGAGTTTGACTCCACAGGAGCCTGTCTGTGTGGAGTTTGAATGCAGTTGGGTTAACTGATGATTCTAAATTGTCCATAGGTGTGAGTGTGAATGGTGTCTGTCTCACTGTGTTAGCTCTGCGATACACTGGCGACCTGTCCAGGGTGTACCCTGTCATCAATTAACCCAGCCCTACTAACTGACATGACAGCATCACACAGTTGCTGTAGGTTTGTTGGGTGCATATTGTGAGATTACTATACTATCTTATGCCACCTTTTACTTCTAATCAAAGAATTGTTGAATCATTATACGGCTATAGGCCACATTATTCCTTGGATTAAAGATTGTGAAATCATTACACTGTTTTATGATGCATTATACTGTTGAGTTATAAGAAATGCTGTTTGTGTCGAATCATGGCCTTCCTTTTCTGATTACAAAGAGAACAGAATATATTGTAGAGGTTTTCTGCCCCATCTCATCAGGAGGAGATAAAACAGGAAGCCAAGGTCGTCACTTAGGTGGTGTAAGAGAGAAAGATGGTAAATGGTAAATGGCCTGTATTTGTATAGCGCTTTACTTAGTCCCTAAGGACCCCAAAGCGCTTTACAGAACATTTAGTCATTCACACACACTGGTGATGGCAAGCCACATTGTAGCCACAGCTGCCTTGGGTCGCACTGACAGAGGCGTGAATGTGAATGCTTAGTGCGGAGGGGGGCCGGAGCTATAAGAATGTGAGAAATGGTCAGACACTTCTGGCGGACACCCTCCTGTCCGGATGTTTGTAATGCTCAAAGTGTGTATGGAATAAAGAGAATTGTTTTGATGAGATTGTTGAGATTGTGTTGTTCTTCCTTCAGCCCAAAGATCAAAGAATTGGGATATCCAATGATATCCATGATATCCCACCACAACCCAAAGGTTCTCTCTGTGAGATCTGGTGTCTGTGGAAGCCATTTGAGAACAGTGAACTCATTGTCATGTTCTAGAAACCAGTTTGAGATATTGTGAGCTTTGTGCTTTATACTGCTGGAAAACCAACATCAGATGATGGATACAATGTGGTCATGAAGGGAAGGACATGGTCAGCAACAATAATGAGGCAGACTGTGGCATTTTAAAGATGCTCATTTGGCTCTAAAGGGTCCAAAGGGTACCAAGAAAATATTCGTCACACCATTAGATAAACATCACAAGCCTGAAGTGTTGAGACAAGGCAGAATGGATCCATGCTTTCATGCTTGAAAGCTGTTTCTACCAAATTCTGACATGTGACAGCAGAAAATCAAGACACTAGATCAGGCAAATTCTTTTTCCATTCTTCTGTTTTCCAATTTTGGTGAGCCCATGTGAATTGTAGTCACAGTTTCCTGATCTTAACTGACAGTAGTGGCACCTGGGTTATTTTCTGCTTCAAAGTTTGACGTGTTGTGCGTTGGTTGTATAAAACGGTTGTTTGACTTAGTTTCCTACCAGCTCAAAGCAGTCTTGCCACTCTCCTCTAACCTCTGAGATAACGGGGCATTTTTACACAGAAAATTGCAGCTCTGCAAAGAGATTCTCTCTTTTTCAGATCGTTCTCTGTGACCTCTTGAGATGGTTGTGCAGGAAAACCCCAGCAGATCAGCAGTTTCTGAAATACTCAGCCCGTCAGGCATCAACATTTAAAATCACCTTTCTTTTCCATTCTGGTGCTTGGTTTGAACTTCAGCAGGCCGTTTTGACCATGTCTACACACTTAAATAGATTTGTCTTTGTACCATGTGATTGGTTAACATTTGCATTAACAAGCAGCAGAACAGGTGTGCCTAATGAAATGACTGCTGAATGCTTTTGTTATTGTAGAATCTCCTCAATATGGTGTAGTCGAACTGAGTGCAGAATAATTTGTCTGCTCTGCTTGAACAGGATTAATTGAATAAGTGAATTTAAAGTGTTTGTTTTACTTGGAATGAACAGAAGCCTGGAATGTAACATGACAGCTGCGTCTGTGAGAAGTGCATCGATTAGCAGTAAATGTGTCGAGGGCCAGGCTCCAGGTACAGACAGGGTCATTAATTATTAATACGCTTTTCATTGTGGATGTTTTAACCACTGACGCAAGTACCTGTAGCAGCGGCAGAAGACCATCAGATGCTGCCGATTATTGTACCTTTTTTGCAAAAAGTTATGGTGAGAAAGTCTTTACTTAGGCAAATATAAACACAATCAAGCAGTTGATTTAACCCTTTAATGCTAAGTGTATCATGTTTGATATGTGAGTTTTTGCAAGTTTTAGAGACTTTATCGGTGTAATTTTTTCCCCATGTAAAAAATAAATAAATTGCACTATACATTTTGAAAGAATGCATTGCAAAAAGATTTGCTAATATAACTCAAATTAAAACTTGTATATACAAATTAGCTTTTTAAAATTTCATCACAAGGTTAAGAAATAAAAATATTATGTACGAGAAGGTGGTGTTCTGTGTACTTGTGCACGTGGGCGATCGTGGCTCAAGAGTTGGCAGTTTGTCTTGTAATTGGAAGGTTGCTGGTTCGAGCCCCGGCTCCGACAGTCTCGGTCGTTGTGTCCTTGGGCAAGACACTTCACCTGTTGCCTAATGGTGGTGGTCAGAGGGCCCGGTGGCGCCAGTGTCCGGCAGCCTCGCCTCTGTCAGTGCGCCCCAGGGTGGCTGTGGCCACAATGTAGCTTGCCATCACCAGTGTGTGAATGTGTGTGTGAATGGGTGGATGACTGAATGTGTAAAGCGCTTTGGGGTCCTTAGGGACTAGAAAAAGCGCTATACAAATACAGACCATTTACCCTGTGAAATAGTCACAAGTTCCTAAAACAGATTAAATAATACACATTTTTCCCAGCCTTAAACTAAATAAAAATAATAATGATAACAGAAAGAAAAACACAGAAATATGTTTATTAGTTTATTTATAAATACAGTATATTATTTACACTGTAAGTCCTCCAACTGGAAGACAACAAAAAGGCATCAAGGCATTAATCTGATATCTAAAACTCCATCCCCACCACCGGTGTACATAACCAACAACAACAACATCCACATGGACCTTACCTCAGAAGA